GAGCACATTCCATCTTTCAGTTTATACACATTGAAATTTGCCAGACTGGTTATGTTCCCTTCGAGACCAAATGGTAGCCCATGAATGAAAATTACCCAGTAATGATTACATACCATTTGCAAAAGTAGACAACCCAAGGTATTGCAGTCTTTTTTCGTAGCCACTTAGTCACAAACACTGGCCAAAGTTAGCATTCATATTTGTTGTGTGTGAAAAATGCAATTTTTTTTATAATTTTATAAAAGTACATATATATCTATATATATATATATATATATATATATATATATATATATATATATATATATATATATATATATATATATATATTTATTTATATTGTGTGTGTAATATATATATATTTATTTATATTGTGTGTGTAATATATATATATATATTTATATTGTGTGTGTAATATATATATATATATATTTATATTGTGTGTGTAATATATATATACCGTATTTTTCGCTCCATAAGACGCACCTCACCATAAGACGCACCTAGTTTTTAGAGGAGGAAACCCAGAAAAAAAAATATTCTGAACAAACTGTTCCATAGTGTTTCTTACCATGGGACAGTTTGTTCAGAATATTTTTTTTTCTCCCCTGTCCCATAATGATCTTTAACCCCCCTTTCCTCTGTCCCATAGTGATTGTTAACCCCTCCCACCCTGTCCCATAGTGATTGTTAACCCCTCCTACCCTGTCCCATAGTGTTCTTTAACCCCTCCTCCCCTTGTCCATTAGTGTTCTGATCCCATAGTGTCCCCCCCTCCCATTGTCCCATAGTGCACTTTCCCTCCCATAGTGTCCCCCCCTGCCCTTGTCCCATAGTGTCTCCCCCTCCCCTTGTCCCATAGTGTCCCTCCTCCCTTTCCCTCCCATAGTGTCCCCCCCTGCCCTTGTCCCATAGTGTCTCCCCCTCCCCTTGTCCCATAGTGTCTCCCCCTCCCTTTCTCCCATAGTGTCTCCCCCTCCCCTTGTCCCATAGTGTCTCCTCCTCCCTTTCTCCCATAGTGTGTGTGTGTGTCCCTCTCCCCTTGTCCCATATAGTGTGTCTCTTTTCCCTCCCCTTGTCCCATAGTGTCTCTTCTCCTCCCTTGTCCCATAGTGTCCCTCCCCTTGTCCCATAGTGTCCCTCCTCCCTTGTCCCATAGTGTCCCTCCCTTGTCCCATAGTACCCTCCCTTTCTCTCCCATAGTGTCCTCCCCTTGTCCCATAGTGTCTCCTCCCCTCCCCTTGTCCCATAGTGTCTCCTCCCCTCCCCTCCCCTTGTCCCATAGTGTCTCCTCCCCTCCCCTTGTCCCATAGTGTATCCCCCTCCCCTTGTCCCATAATTACTTACCTGTCTTGGAGCGTGGGCCGGCTTCACAGCGCGCTCCGCGGTCCAGGAACTTCTATTTCAGGTTCCGGTTTCCGGCTGGACTGAAAGGAACTGTGCACCCTTGTCCCATAGTGTCCCCCTCCCCTTTGTCCCATAGTGTCCCCCTCCCTTGTCCCATAGTGTCCCCTCCCCTTTCTCCTATAGTGTCTCCCTCCCTTTCTCCTATGTGTCTCCCTCCCTTTCTCCTGTAAGCAGTGTCCCCTCCCCTTGTCCCATAGTGTCCCTCCCTGTCCCATAGTGCTCCTTTTCCTCCCTTGTCCCATAGTGTCTCTTCCTCCCTTGTCCCATAGTGTCCTCCTTGTCCCATAGTGTCTCCTCCTTTCTCCCATAGTGTCCCTCCCCGTCCCCAGTGTCCCCCTCCCTTGTCCTATGTACATAGTGTCTCCCCTCCCTTTCTCCCATAGTGTCCCTCCCTTGTCCCATAGTGTCTCCCCTCCCTTTCTCCCATAGTGTCCCCCTCCCCTTGTACCATAGTGTCTCCTCCCCTCCCCTTGTCCCATAGTGTATCCCCCTCCCATTGTCCCAAAATTACTTACCTGTCTTGGAGCGTGGGCCGGCTTCACAGCGCGCTCCGCGGTCCAGGAACTTCTATTTCAGGTTCCGGTTTCCGGCGGGACTGAATGGAAGTGTGCACACTGAGTGCACACTTCCTTTCAGTCCCGCCGGAAACCGGAACCTGAAATAGAAGTTCCTGGCCGCGGAGCACGCTGTGCTGGCGGCCCACGCTACAAGACAGGTAAGTAATTCTTCACATTCGCTCCATAAGACGCACAGACATTTCCCCTCACTTTTGAGGGGAAAAAAAGTACGTCTTATGGAGCGAAAAATACGGTATATGGAACAAATTGAGAGCACTCATTGGATTTAGTAAACAAAAAAATATATTAAATCAAACGCATATAAATCAACGTTTCGACCGTCTAGCGGTCTTTATCAAGATCTTGATAAAGACCGCTAGACGGTCGAAACGTTGATTTATATGCATTTGATTTAATATATTTTTTGTTTACTAAATCCAATGAGTGCTCTCAATTTGTTCCATTTGTATATTTTGCACGGAGAGGCACCTGGTCATTGCTGAATTAATGCTTTTGCTATGGGATGAGTGCCAGAAACTATTGTGATTTTTATATATATATATGATCTAAGTAATTTTGATTTAATTTAAAAA